CTGCAGCTCCCGAAGGTACACAGGGGTGGCTCGACTTGAACTCGCGGGCTGATGGAAGTCGTTGGCTTGGCGACCGACGCGAAATGTCGGGTGGTCTGATGTTGATGAAGTGATGAAGTTGAAGGCTCGTGGTGCCGACACTGGTCGAGTTGTTTGTTTTGGCGTCTTGGTCGGTCGTCGTACATGAAAGTGTTTTCGTTTTGGCGCTGGGCTTGTTGACGTGTTTTTCTTCTGGAGGCGTGGAGCTGGGCAATGGTTGGCTCGATACATTTGTTTTCGTTTTGGCGGCGTGGCGCGTTGGATTTGGTTTCTTTGTTTGGGTCGATGTCTTGGGTTTCGGGGTCGGATGATATGGATCTTGCTGCTGAAGGTTGATGGCTGATGGCGTTGGCGTTGGCGGTGGCGGCGGCGGCTGGCTGATTTGTGCTCTGTGCTCTGTGCTCTTTGCTCTTTGCTCTGTGCTCTGTGCTCATGTTGGTTCTGTATTGGATCTGATGTTGGTTGTGGTCCCCCTGACCGTTGTTTTTGCTGTTGGTTGGCTGGAGCATGTCGTCGTCTTCCTCGGATACGTCGTCTTGTACAGCGTGGCGATGAGTTCCTCATCGCTCAGCGTCGCTTGGTCTGATGGCGCGGCTCGCAGCAGGCGAAGGCGTCGACTGACGAGGCCTCCTTCTGCCGCGGCCTGGATACTCCCAAAAGTATTTTTATTGCACCGTGCAGCTCAGCCTTTTCCGCGCCATAGAGTCGTCAATCCAGGACACACGATCCTAATTCGACGCCAAATAGTCGTTAGTCCAGGACTTGAGATCCTAATTCCACCGCGTGTTGCATTTTATAAAAAATATTTCACGCCGCATTCAAAAAATAAATCGAGGTTGGGCTCCACATTAATCCATGTCCTACCTTGATTTAGCTTTATAAATCGAGGTTTTGGTGCCTCGAATAGCCAAACCGACTGAAAGCCACAATATTACATATGTCTACATCTCCGATCACCTACCGGTACCCCAGTGCCGGTACCCTGGCAACGGGACTCAAACGATGAATGGCGCTGGATTGGCTAAAAGAACATGGATCCACCAATCAATGGACAGCATGAGGATCGGTCACCGCCTGAAACGCATGCATGCTTAAGCAATACCTTTCGATTCGTCACTAGCCACGGACACAAACTTGCGGAGGAAGGTGGCATGTAGGAGCGAGGTCGAGAATCGTTCATTCTCTTCGCCTTCGCGGTGTTAGCATGGCTGCTCTCGTTAACTTTTCGACAGGTGGTTGGGTAAATTCTACCCGTCCTCGTCGAGAACGACGAGGACGCGAGCACGAACGGCTCAACGACGACGATCGTTGGAATTCCCGAGCAAGTTCGAGCTAAAAATTCTTTTTCTTTCTACTAAATACACCAAACGGAGGGCTCGAGCGGCGTACGTAGCTCGTAGCGCCTTTTGGGCGGCAGGACAGGACCGCACTCCTTCGCCACGAGAGACTGTACATGTACCGTCGCGCGCAACTCGTTGACGACATACTTGGACGGTCTCGTGGCGTGCGAGATCGCCGCGCGTTTTAAGTCGACGCCTGAGAGAAGGCTCAAGCGCAGCCGCTCGATAAGCACACCGTTGCAGTAGCAGAGCAAGAAGCAGTCGGTGCCCCGCAGGTTGATCGTCGGACACAACTTCAGGCGCGGGTTCAAGTCCATCGCGTGGTAGATGGTGCCACCGCGCGCAGGACGCTGCGTTGCCATGTGCAGGGCTTTGGAGGCTTGGAACAAGGCGGCACTCTTGACGCTATTGTAGCGAACGGAGCTACAGTCTGCTGGGATCGGCCGTGGTCGACGAACGCAGCCTAATTGTCATGATTGCTATCGGTTGCATCGGTCAATGCGTACCCGCGACCAAGCCGTACGCCAACGGAATGCTCAGCGTCGTCAAGGTATAAATGATACAAACGAGAGCCGCTTCGCTCTCTTGGCTTTGGAGGTCTGTGGGCACGAGGCAATAGAAGAGCGCATGGTACATCCGCGAAAACGCTGCGATATGTTCCAACATGAACACAAAGGCCGGACCGTACACGGTCACCGCTATCGCAAGCACTGTCGGGTCGACTTCGGAGAAGACGTGCTGCTTTTCCCAGCGCTTGAGCCCATAGGAGACGAGGCAGAGACCCCAGTACGCAAACCAGACCTACAACCAAGTAAATCCATTAAACCTCTCAGATGGAAAATGGCAACAATTAACTACAGATGTACCGTGCGCGACATGTAAAGGACACCTTGCAGTACAAGACTCAAGTTGCCGCTGACCTGAATTTGCATCGTCGCGACGCCAAAGTTGGTGAT